TATATATATATAAACAAGAGACGATGTTATCCGTTACCTGATATCTTTGATATCTGCGAGCCCGTCTCACAGTCTGTATGAATAATTGTTTCAAAATGAGTCCACCAGCTGTTGCATAGTAACTCTCACACTTTCAATGGCTGGTCGAGCGGTTAACAAAGCCGGTGGCGACTGCCAAACCAGCCCAAACGAAAGTTCTACCATGAAATAATGCTCAGACACAACGTCGAATATACCGATAAGAGTGATTTACTATACGGCAGACGACTTAACAACGACAATTAGAAGGGAAGAGCCTTTGTTGTTCGTTTTTGACCACAATGGGATACGAACTTGCACCTTGCTCAGCTTGTCTAGTCCTGTTCCTTCTAAGAGGATTATACCGCCGGAAAATCGGGACTGTGCCGCGCATAAATATTGACGGGGGAAGTTTCTGCCGTTTTTGCTCTAGCTCAACTAGCTGGAAGGTCGCTTCGCCGGCGCCAGTGGCTCGCCGAGCCGCTGACTGCAACTTCAGTAGCGAGAGAAAAGGGAAAGAAGGAGACTAAAGCGAAATGAAAATGATGCTGTTTCTACTTCTGCCTCTTTGTTGAAAAGTACAGCATTCAGAGGCCTGTTGTTATCGGTTATTCTTTTTCTTCTTCACATCTTGGCTGCACTGCGAAGATACTACCCCCGTTGGCTTCAATATTCCGCTTGCTATTTTCCCCGACCTGTTCGCCAACGCGGCTTCACTTTGTTCTGCTCTGGCTACCATCTCGTTCCGTTCGTGGCCGTCCGTCTATACGACTCACGTAAAAGTCCGTCCGCTGCACGGACAATGTAGGTCGCCGCTGTTGACAACACTGTCATTAGCAGCATCGTTCGCCATTCGCGTCAGCACCGACGCCAGAACAGGTTTTACTGGCGCATGGGGGATACCACAGGCGCAATCCAACGTTATAGACGTTTGCTATAGGGTTGCAGTGTTCCGTAGAAGCTGCTGTCGGAGATAGAGGCGAAAAGAATGGTGCTGCCAATAACGAGGGACAGGCAGACCGAGACTGATGGCGCATAGAGAATGCTTTCAGCTGAATGCTGCCGGTGAATCAGCTGCAGAAACAGCAGCGGTGCAATGGCCGCGGTACCTGCCCGCCGGGAGGAACGTGGTAAAATCCTGCAGTCGTTTCGTTTGTAGTTAGACGTCACGTCAGCAGTGGCGTCCATGCGCCAACTGAGCCGCTCGACGATCTAACAGCCAATTCACCTTGTTCTTCTCGGATGTGTAGATACGATAGAATAATAAAAACAATGGTACGAAAAAACGGCAAGAAGGTCTGAGAGGCGAGGGGAGGTTAACACAGGAACATGCAAAGGAACAAAAAGTTACTGGCGAACGCTGTTGTTATTTCTGATAGTGAAGCAGAGATGAGTCAGTCACTTTTGTGCGGAGGACCGGGCCTTATTTATGATTTTGTCGTTCGTCGATGAACGTTTAAGATAGGCCAAGTCAGCCGATTCGCGCGCGGCAATTTACAAAATCGCGGTACCGAAGTGAATCGATGCTGCCCAGCAGTAGAACGCCTCTGCTTTATGCCGTTGTTGTTACTGAGTGCTTTTGCTGCAAATGCTGGCGCTAGCGAAAGAAATACTGCCGTTTGAATCGAGCACAGTATCCACACGAGTCCGATTATTCTTTTCAAAAAAACTCGTAACTAAAGGTGTCTTCGATCGGAGAAGATCAAACGATGAAATAACCTGAGTTCTGCGAGAGCTACTGAATAATAAGTGAGGAAATGGCCGATCTTGCGGTTTTGGGCTGCAGGATTCTCTGCTCTGAGAGCTATAACAGGTCCCTGCTGAATTCTATATAAGGATCAGTTCTTATTATGGTGTTTGAATCTGACTGAGTGATTTTCTTTCTTTTGTTGCTGCAATTGGTCTTGGCAAGTTGACATTATTTGCGTAGCGCAAGTCGGCTGGCTCTGGATACGCTTCTCCTAAAAAAGTGTCAAAAAATTATGACTCAGTTTACTTGAAAAGTTAAGGGTATCGCCGGCATGTTCTATCCGTACTAGACTCGGCTCTAGTGCTCATTATGAAAGATTGATGACGTATATGACTTTTTTACGCAGTGCATGTTTTTTGCCCCCGTCAATCTATCAGCTTTTTTTCCTTTATAAATTATATATAGTATTTCTACTATGACGAGATAGAAAGCAAGGTTTCATAGCCACACCATTGGGACGGTACCATTTGATCATTTCCACATAGTTTTTGTTTGTTTTAATTTTCTCGATATAAAGAACAAGTTTATCTACCTTTTTAACATTTGGACATTTAAACAAACAGCTTATCTAAAGATATACCCTATCTGAGGTAGGCATATCTATTCTATATACAAGGTAGGTGCGAATAAGGGTCGTGTCGCAAACAATTGGGCAAAATGGTACCGATACATATGGAGCGAGCACACATCGGACTATGCTGGCCAAACTGTCGCCGATTGCATTATGCAATAGTGGTTTGCGTGTTCCCGTTTCGAATTCTAGAGCCTCGTTGGTCGCTTGCCCACAGGTTCTCCCATGTATACTATGCCGCATGCACACACGCACATAAAGATGCGTTGGACAGTGTTTCACCGTTGCAAACAACTAGTCGTTGTCTTACCTACCAAACAATCCATATCTATGCGTAACACGTTTCCCGAAGCTGAAAGTTTAGCGAGATCGCTGGAAGTAAGTTACGAATTGGGGGCAAAAAGTATATTAATATATGTTGAAATTTAAGGTCGCTGGAAACGATGGTATATGTCAACCTACAATCGACGTATTAAGCAACACAGCAGGCACCAATACGACATCGTATTTTTCTTTTGCTTTTGAGCAAAGGATGCCAAGGAAATAATTCACCAGTACCATGCAAAGACCATTGGCTGGTCATTTGTCCTTTGAACATTTATCAGCGTTCACAGATATAATCTGCTTATGCGTAATTGCATATTCAAGATGTTGCTTTCTGAATCTGTTACTACCAATCTTGTTTTAAATGTGCAAGTTTATATCTACAGGAGAAAAATGCATCATTGGATCATTCGAAGCATTCCAGCTCATGTCGGTTGGTATTTTCTCGTTAAAAGTCCTGCTTTCCATAGGCAATTGCCAACGACGTATGGGTTTCGGTCGCAACCCTGTCCTATGTATGCGGTGCCTTGAAGAGATAGCTTTCGTATTTTGTGTTTCTCGTGGCCATCGCAAATGGAGCAGTTAACCCAGCTAATGGCTAACCGTCGTAGTAACAGCCGTTTCAGAAGTTCGTTGTGCCTTTGTATGCTCAAACGCGCGCAGATGCGTCTAGCGCTACCGCTAGGTAGACATCAGAACACATTATCAGAAAACTGCGTAGAAGATCTGCTACCACTGTGGTTCTAACCAACCATCTTTACCGACAATTGTTGCTCGAGAAAGATCTAGCGTACCCCGTGCACGATGCATCATCGGCTGTTACGCTCTACCGGTGACGGTGGTGCCTCCGCCGACCTGCCCGTAGACTGTCAGGCTTACGAAAAGGATCGAGCGCACGTACGAAAGACGCTCTCCTACCTGCCTGTCTGTGCCTGCATGAGCTGATCGGCGCCGGTGCGAATCGAGGCCTGGCGACTGTGAAAATCGTTGTCGAGCTTCTGAGTGCGTAGAGCAGGCAACATAGACAACAATTTGGGGACCAGACAGCCGACCTTTGGGCTTACCGCACCACGTCAACTGTTCACAGAATTCCAACGACACAGGAAAGGCTCGCATCTGGCAGAACACGATGTTATAGTAGGTTTGCCTGCGTTTCCCATAGCTTTCCAAAGCGCCTTTTTCGATTCGACCGACAAGCAAACCCTTGCGACGCATCATCCGCCTGTATGGATGGGCTTGGTTATTGTTTCGTGCATCGTTTGACTGTCCTATATGCGTGGTAGCGTAAGCGCATTATGTCGCAAGGTGAATCATTACAAATTGAAGGCGGTCGTCGCGCTGATGCATATTCGATCAATGTGGCACGATTGTTCAAGAGAGCAGCAGAAGCAGCCGAAATCACCATTATCGCAGTCGGCTCTTCTCAAACACAAATATCAACAAACATAAGCGTGATTTTCCCCGCGCTGCTGTCAGTTTGACGATGGTTCTCTGGACTCAGGCGTTTCTGTTGTCATACAGAAAACCCAGCACATCATTTCGCCATGCTCGGAGGCTCGTACCGTGTATATGAACACTGTGTATATGCAGTGATTGGTTTCGCCCTTCGGTATCCTGTTTATCGATCTCGTTGTCATCGAACTCGTTACTGCTGCAGCCGTACGCCTTCCGATCGATCTGTCTGGTTGTCTGGCGGCATATTCACGTATCATCATCCTGTATCACAAGAATCCATGGATGAGCGGATGCATACAAAGGCGGTACAAGGGAAAAGGAGGACAGCCAGGAAAGAACGTATGACGTATGGCATGTCCGCGAAGGGAATCATATAACCAGCTGAGTAAGCCGATTCGAACTTGCCTTTATCTTCCGCTTAGTTCCGATGAAGTACTGCTTTAGCAATGCATTTCGATACTGCATACATACACTCTGCCCGGGTGCTTCATTTTCTCTCCCCTTCTTCATTACAAAGCTTAAAGTTCTTCAACAGCTGTCTTTTAGTGCACAGTTTATTACTTTTTAATTCATATGATGTTGTGGAACAGGCATCGCATGCGGTGTAACGCCAGAGGTTCGATCCGATCGCTGGATTCTGATTACGTTACGACAAAGAAGTGCATGCACTAAGAATTGGCAGATGTGCACGTGCTGTTACTGAAAGGGTCAGGGAACGACGACGGACGCACTGGAGAGTCTATAGCTGTCTTGAGGCTTGATAGAGCTGCTCCTTTCTGACACAATGCGGTAAACTACTGAGTTATCTATCGAGACGATGTTATTACTACGACACGAACTATTCCAGTTTTCTTTGTTAAACTAGCGTAACAAACATAAGAAGGACAGGAAAAATGGTAACGTATTCGAAGCTTCTACATTTCACGTTCGTAAGAAAGCATAGAATACTTGGGGCTGACGATATTTTCTTTATTAGCCGAGAAATAACTAACTTAGCGATATTTTTGCCCATTAGCTGATATGGCGTGTTCTCACAGATACGTGTTTAGTGGCGTAGATAGATTTGACAGTATAATGGATATAACAAAACGATGAAATGAAAAAGACATGCACGGCAGTTGGACGTTTGACAAGGAAATTGCCATTGGTAGGCAAAATATACACGACGAAACATGGTTGATGGTGTAGTGTTGAAATCGGTGTTGTCTATACTGGATTTGCGTGCATCGTGTAAACGCTTTTACAATCCAACATTTATTAGTTACCCTAGATAGTAGGCCTAAAAACTGCGTGGCCAGTTTTTAGGCGACGATTTAATTCAGCATTTTTTAGTAATACACTAATAACTGTATGATCATACCTGTTCATGACATTTCTATGTACCTTCAGTCCTTAATCGCTTAACGACTAAGCGACATTGGCGCGTTGTTTCTTCGAAATTTTGCCAGTAAATAAGGTAAGTGTTCCTGTTATGTATCGTGCCTATAGACGAAATGTAACTCAACGAGAATAGAACACTGACAGGACATAAAACTAAACAGTTTGTATAGAGGGTTTGGTTTTTTTTTCATACAACAACAATACCTGCTAGATCTATATCTGTAGTAAGCACTATACCTGACATATATGACACGATCCACTTGATATATTTACTACTATTCCTAGTTACTTTAATTTTCTGTTGAATAGATAGAAGCGTATAGCTTGTTATAGTTGGCCACCTATTTCTATCTGTTCCGTATATGGGGATCAGTTCCTCGAACTGTGTCCGATAGTTAACCCGGCCGGTACTGTTGCTGCTAAAATAGCAACGCGAGTTCAAAATTTAGCCATCATTACGCTTCGATCATTCTATACGGGTCAATTCTATTCATGTTAGTAAAAAATCTCTATAGAAGTTGCGTATTAGTTATCAATTACTTAGAGTGGTTACATGTTTTGAGTCTATGTTAGAAGGCAGCCTGATGCATGGAAAGTTGATCTGAATATACTAAACTGTAGCCAGAGGTTATTATATTACCCTCTCTGATAACTCCGAAAAAGGCTGGCAGGTCTGCCGCACATAGCTCTACTGAATATATCCAATATGATTGTTATCTTCAAGCGATTGACACGGCTGAATCTTCGCATCGCCAGCACTTCTTTCACAGAGCTTGCATTGGCTGGGTTATGAAAAAAAAGACAAAGATTTCAACAGACATTATTGATTTTTTTTTTTTTTTTGTAGTGAACAGGATTTCTCCTTTGCTGAATAACTATTAGGCACGTACAGCGACTCATATCCCTTATAAACATCGCTTTCTTACAGTATTAGCTAAGTGCGGCTATCCATCTGAACTGTAATTGATGTAACTAGTAAAAATCAAGCGAGATAAAAACGATTAAATGGCTCGTTTTCCAGTCGCATTTTAGATAGATCACGTATAGTAAATTAAAAAAGCGTTAGCCAGAAGTCGAAACTATGCTGGAATCTATCATCTGATAGCGATCCACAATTGTATGTCAATTATCTTACCTTTTTGTCCTAACCAGCTAAACATTGTTCTTGTTATGGTTCAATAACGAATAATAGGTGCTGATATAAGCGAAAGACCGCTTGCATGCTGACTTTGCCATGACTCAGCTGAATTCGGCCCCAGGGAAATGTGGGCGCAGGGGGTGGTAGCGGTTGCAAAGACCGAATTTCATGGCTGAAGGGAAGAAGGAAAGGAAGATGAAAAGCTATTTCGGTCAGACGTACGTATGAGGCTCAAGATGACTCTGTGACGTTCCTGTTGCTGCTGCTGCTGTTTCCGCAACGTCTGCACTTCCAGATGCTATTGCTATTGGTTTGGTGCATAAAAGCTACGCGCGGGGGCTACTTTTCACCATTCCGTTCTTGGTTTGCCTGCCTGCCTGTTTTTACGGCACGGTAGCACGATGACTTCTGGCAATTTCAAAATGGATATATGATGGATCTCAATAGTGCCTGTGGCACGGATAATGTTTGAAGTACACCCGCAGTCGGGAGGGGGGGGGGGAGTGCCGATAATAATAATTTGCTAATTAACAGAAAGATCATTCTTATGTATTACTAGAGTGTAATTTTTGCATTACTTTTGGGAAAATTAGTTTGCTGCATATATGATTATTATTGCGGATTGTTCCGAGAATTGTCATTGTTGTTATTTATAAATATATTGCCGATTCAATGAAAATTAACGCTGATGATATACAGTAAAATCTTTGATTTCCACCGAAGCTCGGCTTTATCCCTGCCAAGACCTAGCAAATGGTGTCTAGCTAAATACCTACAATATATTTCCTGCAAAATCCTAAATGCCTCAGTATAAAAGGTTTCTTTTGATCAGTTTCGAGAGGCTCCATAGTCACTCAATTACCATACCGCTCCACATACCCTTTGCGTACAGATGCTGTAACTTGTCAGCTAGAAAGTTGGACGGAAACTTTTGATTGCCTTCTATTACGGCATACAGCTTAGAGTATCGTAAATTTTCAGGGAAAAGAAATTGGCATTTTCGATTAGTGATCATCCCCCAATCAACGCGTGTGTGATGTATTACCTTATTATTTTAGAGAAAGATGCTAAAATTAATACATTAACTTGTATTGATTTTTGATGGGATGAGGCAAAGATATGAGAAGCTGAGCAGTTTACTCACAATTGCATATCGGTTGACACTGTTGCCAAGTGACCCGTCGGCAGTACGTTTCATTAGCCAAGTTGGTAAGGGATGCTTGGATAAATATACTCTACCATTATTATCGTTATTGTTAGTTTAGATAAATTAATAAATATAATAATATATAAATAATAATAAATAATATAATAATATATAAATAAAAAAAACTTCTTAGATACTCGATCAGCTATTGGGAAACTGTTCCTCGCCAAACATTCGGACGCCATTGACGGCTATTATGAATCAGCATTTTCATGTTCTATTCAGTCAGCTAGGCGGGGAAAACGAGATGCGTCATGATCTCGGTATCGCGATCGCCTATAGACAGAGGCGTTCTGCGAACCCTTCAAATCCTCTACATTTCGTTTATGTGATTTTACTGTAACCGCACACACAGGTTAGTGCTTTCGACGACTTGCTATTGGACGCATGGACAAAAATGCCGCTGGTAATGCCAGTGTAAAAATACAATTTATAGCAAAAAAGGACGAAAAATCGGACACACGCTGACTTTTCTCTGCCCGTCAGCCGTACTGAAATTAATGCTGTTCTTGTAGTAGATACATATTTGCTAGCTGATTTTTATTTAACCTATTTTCGGACTAGCATTGCCAGTGCGACGCCTCATACCATCGATTTACGTAAAGGACTCTTAAGGCAAGAGACTCAGCCAAGTGGGTTTCGGTTTTCCTAACGGTTGGCGGTGGCTGAAGCGATTCAGAATTGCGGTTCAGTTTGCGAACGTGCATAATATTTATTTTGTCGTTTTCTACGAAACAGCTCAGAGGGAAGTGTTTTTCTTCTGAATCTTAATCTGACAATGTCTTATCTGCCGGCTTGGGTTGGCAAGCTACAGCTCCAATTCAAATGAACGAAACCAAATTCTAAGCAAATGATCAGCATTACTTACACCGTAGCGGTAGAAATAAGAGCGCGGATACAGTCATATAGTAGCCTATTAGGACAAGGTGTTTCTTTAAGAACACTCTACCACGATACCTCTTTTTACAGGCCATTGGTCAGCGACAGATGAGGGAGACTCGTTCATAAAAGGAACTCCATTAACGTGCCAGTACTACTATACTTTATTACAGTAGTTGAGAGACGGTGCGCGTAACTGACGTGCTCCTAGTCAAAGAACAGACGAACCGAAGCTTTGTTGACGATGCTGTGTCCGTAAACATCGCATATTCAGTACGCTATACTAGCTAGAGATGGCACACTCGCAGGGAATTCAGACACAGCGAATGCCATTCTGTATATATAAAACTGTTCTATTTTCGCCTTTTTCAGGCTCAGGTCAATACGAGTTAAAACATGTCAGTCAGAGCGGCCTAGGACAGCTTGAGTCTCACAGAGCTGCTTAATTGAGGTAGTCGATCTATCTATGTATCGCTTCGAAACGTTATGCTGTGTAGGAATGACAGAATCATTCCTCCCACGTCGTTTCATAGAAACTCATAACTCAGAGCGGAAGCTATCAATCGTAAATGTATGAAAACGCTCTATATTGTTTACACTACGGTATATTTTTCATCGGGTGCCCTATTGGACCTGCTATGGGTAACAGTCGGATTTAAAAACTGCACAGCAACTTTCCCGTAGTAGAAATCTCTTCTGCGCTAGCAGGATTTTTCTGTATGCACCATAGCAGCCCCATAAAGTTCTGCCCGTGTCATCCTCTTCGGGCTTCCAGCAGATTCAAGCTTTACCTTTCCCTGTCTGAACTGAAAATAAAAAAGCCACTCGACATTTTGAATTCGGATTGGCCCCATGATGCTGCTGCTGCTGCTGTTGCAGTTTGCTGTTCACAACATGGGGTTGAATTTGGGCTTCATTGGTTGGCTGCTTGGTCGGTTATGTACCTCGGCGTCTATCGTTCGTTGTCCGACGACGATGCCAATCAGTTGGACGAACTACAGCACAATGGTAAAACCCGAAGGAGGGTTACCCTTACCAACGTACTAGAAATACGACGAAAGCATCTGAGAAGAAAAGAAAAAGAAACATATATATATATATATATATATATATATATATATATATATAGGAAAATATTATAAAACATGTAAAAATATTAATAGAGTGCAATAATAGATACAAAACAATTTAATGTCAATTATAGTATAGAAAATGGATGTAATGCTGGCGCTAGCGTCGATTTTTTCTTGTTGTTGACTAGTCACCTATCGTCGGTACAATAACTTGTTGAGACACGTGTGAAAAAATAGAAATCAATGTTATTTGCACACCGTTTGTGTCTTCGAAGTGCCATTTACCTGTTCGACCCGTACTGGCCTCTTTCAAAAGCGCTCTGCTATTACGCCATCGTCAATAGTAAGCAATATATTGAACGCTACTATGATATATCCGTTGCCTGCACAATTATGCGTTGCGATCGGGCTGACCTATGGTGTTCAAACATGGCAGACCCGCAGACAGCGTGGTCCTTCCATAGGTGACTGCACCCATGGGATTCTAACTAAGGTGAACAATGGTGTTTGTGTTAGCGTTTGAATTCGCACATAAGATAACGAATTATAAACAGAGGGCTAGAGAAGGTAGGCAAATAGTAAGATGATTGACAAACGATCCTTTTTCCCTATTCGAAGGTGTCGAAGTGTCTTGTCGCGGCCCAGAATACCCGTCAACAGGTAGATAATAAGAGAGGCAGAGGGAATCACCATGCGGTCTTCTCATTACAGAATAGTATAAGTACAAGTGGGGCGTCCACACTGTTTGGTCCGTTGTGTGTACTGTTTTTTCACGCTGCTAGTCAGCTATCCACAGCTGCTTGCGGCAACTTTGGGGCCCTAACAAGGGTCTTGGCCATAGCTAATCACAGGTACTAGACGGCTGTTCGATACATGGAATAGAGCTGGTCAAGAAAGTTATGACGATTGATGATTGCGCATAACTATTGGATGATTTCTAGGGATGTTTAAATATGTTAACGTAATTCGTAGAGGCTCTTTCTAACATCCATACAATCTCTCAGGCTTTTATTATTGAAAAGTATAACAACCTATAACCTTGTCGTTGTACATGCACGGCTATTTCTAATTCATATTATAAGTTGAGTTAGAACATGCGATAATTGAGTACTCGAAATAGCAATATCGGAGCGTTGCGACATCTTCGAAGAGTAAGAACAGCTAGAAGAAGGTCTACACATATCGCTTTAAGCTATTATTTTTTTTACACGATTTTGACGATGCTTGTCAGGGTGGACTCGACTTCAATCGGGACCGGTGAACAGCGTTTGTACCACAAACTAGCTGAAGCTGAAGGCCCGCTCACATAAAAGTAAACAATACAAAATTTTCAATAACAGCATATTGTTATATTGGCTTATGTGTTCCATTGGTTTGAAGAATCTCACGAGAACTAATTCCGACAAAACTTAGCAATGTCAATATATATATACATACGTACATTCACATAATTTAATAATAAAATAAGACACAATTTTTTGTTTGTGGAATATTAGCCCTTCCACAGTTTCTTACTTCCGAGAGAAGTTGTTTTTTTTTTTACATAATGTACACTCAGCAAAATTTTTTACTGCTGAGTACTGCAACGCCTTCTGCTTGATATTTAGACAATGTAATCTGTGAGTATTGCACAATAGATTTCGTACGATATTATTAATTTCACACACCTTAGGTGAATGAAAATTTCTTGTTTTTGCTAGTACATCGTTGTGTTCGCTTCTTGGCCTGCGCTCTCGCTTTTCTAACGATCGGCGCCTACCGCAATAATCCAACATCAAAAAAGGATCTGCCCAAGTGGATCTGTACATATTTATTTCTATGGGCCCGGAGGAACGAATGAGCGAGCTGTATGTGTTAAGTGTTCCCCGCAACTTTTTCTGATGTTGGTAACGCCTGTCACCGAGCGAATGGTTCGCGGAAGGAATAACCTCTAGATCACAGCACGAATCCGAGGCTAGACTGTGCTCATCTGGGCTGAGACCAGCTGACGCAATCTTTGCGGCCGAAAGTCAAAGTGTCTTTTTAACTTGGTTCCACTTGGTTTTGTACGATAGACGCTGTCGAACGTGAGTGCTAAAGTACGACTCAGATAGTAAAACACAGCAGCGCAACGGTGAAGATCTGTGTGCCAATCAGTTTTCGTCGGCAAGGCTACATATCGAGAATGGGGCCTCTGGCTTGCTGTTGTAAGCTGTCCAGTGGTGGCCGCATAGGTCTCTGTACCTAAATTTCGGTTTTAGGGA